GGAATTGAATCTGATCTGAGGGGTGAAGGTGCAGGAATTGGGGAGATCTGAGGTGTGAAGGTGCAGGAATTTAATCTGATCTGAGGGGTGAAGGTGCAGGAATTGGGGTGATCTGAGGGGTGAAGGTGCAGGAATTGTGGAGATCTGAGGGGTTAAGGTGCAGGAATTGGGGTGATCTGAGGGGGGAAAGTGCAGGAATTGACTCTGATATGATGTATGAAGGTGCAGGAATTGGGGTGATCTGAGGAATGAAGGTGCAGGAATTGAATCTGATCTGAGGGGTGAAGGTGCAGGAATTAGGGTAATGTGAGGGGTGAAGGTGCAGGAATTGGAGTGATCTGAGGGGTGAAGATACAGGAATTGGGGTGATATGATGTATGAAGGTAGACGAATTGACTCTGATCTGAGGTGTGAAGGTGAAGGAATTAGGTGATCTGAGGTGTGAAGGTGCAGAAACTGACTCTGATTTGAAGTGTGAAGGTAGAGGAATTGGGGTGATCTGGGATGTGAATGTGCTGGAACTGGGGTGATCTGGGATGTGAATGTGCTGGAATTGGGGTGATCTGGGATGTGAATGTATTGGACTTGGGGTGACCTGGGATGTGAATGTGCTGGAATTGGGCTGATCTGGGATGTGAATGTGCTGGAATTGGGCTGATCTGGGATGTGAATGTGCTGGAATTGGGCTGATCTGGGATGTGAATGTGCTGGAATTGGGCTGATCTGGGATGTGAATGTGCTGGAATTGGGCTGATCTGGGATGTGAATGTGCTGGAATTGGGCTGATCTGGGATGTGAATGTGCTGGAATGGGACTGATCTGGGATGTGAATGTGCTGGAATGGGACTGATCTGGGATGTGAATGTGCTGGAATTGGGGTGATCTGGGATGTGAATGTGCTGGAATTGTGGTGATCTGGGATGTGAATGTGCTGGAATTGGAGTGATCTGGGATGTGAATGTGCTGGAATTGGGCTGATCTGGGATGTGAATGTGCTGGAATTGGGCTGATCTGGGGATGTGAATGTGCTGGAATTGGGGTGATCTGGGATGTGAATGTGCTGGAATTGGGCTGATCTGGGATGTGAATGTGCTGGAATTGGGGTGATCTGAGATGTAAATGTGCTGGAATTGGGGTGATCTGAGATGTGAATGTGCTGGAATTGGGGTGATCTGAGATGTAAATGTGCTGGAATTGGAGTGATCTTTATAAAGATCCCTTTTCGTGATTGAGTGTTTTACAACGTGAAAGTAACATGCTTTGCTGTTTTTTTTTTGCCTTCCTCTGGATCAACTGTGGGTGTAGGATTATAACTTTTTTTTTTTCTTTAATGGTTGAACTGGATGGACTTTTGTCTTTTTTCAGCCAGACTAACTATGTAACTAGGCATCTATGACACACTTGTAATTTTCTGTGGTCGATCGCATGTGAACAGCCTCCTTCAGCCGTATTTTAGACTTTAGGTGGGTAGCCAGGGGGGCAGCAAAATTGGGGCTCAGCCCCTATGTAAAGAACCTGACCTTTTTAAAATTCAGACATTGAAGCCTAACTCCATGTTTACTATTTGCATCTCTAACAGAGGGTCCTGCTGGGAGCACTGTGTAAACTGTATGGAGCATCATGTGTTCTGGCAGCAGGATGGGGACTTTCCACCCCATTCCCAGCGCAAAATTCATCCATTCACAGGAAGCCTTGTATTTTATTTTATCTTCCTCTAACTGACTGAGGTGGGCGGATAACCTCACTATCTGTCCCCCCAATTTTGTATGTGTTGATAAAAGACAAAGGTTCCTGTGAATCGGTGTGATGATGAGAGGTCTTCAGCTATCCAGTTTCATATTTGTTCGCTGCCACTGGTAGAGTTCTTCCTAAAGGCGATTGCATATGTTAGGCAGTATATGGCATACTCCTGACCCCTGCATTATGTATGCTGTGTTGTACGACAGATTCTGGTTGCTCAGCAGTCACTGGTAATCCAGTTCTTCTGCATAGTAGACTGCCTGCAGGAATGCTTCATATTTTACAGATCAAGGTGCTGACGTTTTTTTTTTTATGTCTGTTAGAGTCTCACTTGTAGTGCAGCGATTAAAGCACATTTATTGAGTATATGTTTGTCAGGGATGCGGGTGTGACCAGAGGTGTGTGGACTGACACAGGGAAACGCAGGCTTCAGATATAGTAAATAATATAATTTATTGAGACTAACAATACAAAACGCAGTGCAAAACTAAACATAAACACAGTGCAAACACAACTGAACCAAACCAGATAACAAACAGATAATACAAGAGTAGTCAGGCAGGTCGGGTCGGTAGCAAACGGGCAAATGGAGTACCAGGAGCAGGTGGGAGAGTGGTCAGGACTAGCCGAGGTCAGTATAGGCAGAGTCAGGACAGAAGTAACAGGATCAGCAAACCAGGGCCAAGCAAACAGTACAACAAGGCACTGACTGCAGGTCTGGCCATCCTTAAATACACCACCTGCAATCAGCCCCAGGTGGTGGCTAATTGCCGGAGTGAGCCTCTGGTTGTTGAGAGCACCCGCTGGCCAGCCCTGGTACTGCAGCCCACAAAGCAGGTGAGTCCCACCACTATTGGCGAGTCCATTCCTAACAATGTTACTGTGTACACAGGGAATAGGCAGGGCATTCTTGCAGCCATTGAGAAATACTGTGAGAGCTGTGATTGGTCACAGCTTGTCACATGGTACAAGGCTGTTGTGAATAGCCCTGTACCATGTGACCTCTGTGATCATTCAGATTTCACACGTAGTAAGCAATGATGTCAGAAGTGACATCTTGCTTACTACTCTTCATGTGATCACTGATTGGCCAATCAGTGATCACATGATCGGGACCACACACAGAGGTCCCGTACAGCGACCAGTGTTCCGCTTTGTCTGGAGGACACAGCGGGCACTGGATCGCGGTGCCGCACACTCCCATGGAGCGCGCACAGGCTAAAATGGCGGGTGCCGTTCATGAATGGCAACCCACCCCTGCACTGCTCCTGTCCGTCCGTTTATATACCGTATTTTTCGCTCCATAAGACGCACTTTTTTCCCCCAAAAAAAGGGGGGGGGGGGAAATGTCAGTGCGTCTTATGGAGCGAATGTATAGCGGCCGGTATTCCATGTCCGCAGTCTCTGGTCATCCCCCTGTACCATGTCTGAAGTCTCAGGCATCTCCTGTACTGTGTCCGCAGTCTCTGGTCTCTCCTGTACTGTGTCCCAGTCCTGGTCATCTCCTGTACTGTGTCCGCAGTCTCTGGTCATCTCCTGTACTGTGTCCGCAGTCTCTGGTCATCTCCTGTACTATGTCTGCAGTCTCTGGTCATCTCCTGTACTGTGTGCATCTCTGGTCATCTCCTGTACTGTCCGCAGTCTCTGGGACACATGCACTGTGTCCGCAGTCTCTGGTCATCTCCTGTATTGTGTCAGCAGTCTCTGGTCATCTCCTGTATGTGTCCGCAGTCTCTGGTCATCTCCTGCTGTCCGCAGAAGCTCTGGTCATCCCGTATTGCAGCAAGTCTCTGGTCATCCCCTGTACTGTGTCCGCAGTCTCTGGGTCATCCCCTGTACTGTATCAGCAGTCTCTGGTCATCTCCTGTACTGTGTCCGCAGTCTCTGGTCATCTCCTGTACTGTGTCCGCAGTCTCTGGTCATCCCTGTACTGTGTCCTCAGTCTCTGGTCATCTCCTGTACTGTGTCCGCAGTCTCTGGTCATCCCCTCTATTGTGTCCGCAGTCTCTGGTCATCCCCTGTACTGTGTCCTCAGTCTCTGGTCATCCCCTGTACTGTGTCCGCAGTCTCTGGTCATCTCCTGTACTGTGTCCGCAGTCTCTGGTCATCTCCTGTACTTTGTCCGCAGTCTCTGGTCATCATCTCCTGTACTGTGTCCGCAGTCTCTGGTCATCTCCTGTACCGTGTCTGTAGTCTCTGGTCATCTCCTGTACTGTGTCCGTAGTCTCTGGTCATCTCCTGTACTGTGTCCGCAGTCTCTGGTCATCTCCTGTACCGTGTCCGCAGTCTCTGGTCATCTCCTGTACTGTCCGCAGTCTCTGGTCATCTCCTGTACCGTGTCTGTAGTCTCTGGTCATCTCCTGTACTGCAGTCTCTGTCATCTCCTGTACTATGTCCGCAGTCTCTGGTCATCCCTGTACTGTGTCCGCAGTCTCTGGTCATCTCCTGTACCGTGTCCGCAGTCTCTGGTCATCTCCTGTACTGTCCGCAGTCTCCGCAGTGTCTGCAGTCTCTGGTCATCCCCTGCACTGTGTCTTGAAGTCCATTGGTTCAGAATATTTTTTTTCTTGTTTTTCTCCTCTAAAACCTGGGTGCGTCTTATGGAGCGAAAAATACGGTACATGGGCCGGGCGGGAAGTGGTTAAGTGCCCAAGGCTGAACACCCCCAGGAAAAAAAATATCTACGGCCCTGGCTCAGCTGTTAGTAGCATTATAACAAAGTGGAAGCAAATGGGAACAACGGCAACTCAGCTATTATATTTTAATTGGTTTTGGATAGTGATCTATACATGTGAGGATTATCATGCATAATTAGGCAGCGCTTCTATGTTATAGTATCATTGGTGAAAGAATGGGTCGCTCTCAGGAGCTCAGTGACTCCAAGCGTGGTCCCGTGATAGGTGGTCACCTGTGCAATAAGTCCATCCGTGACATTTCCTGGCTACTAAATATTCCACGCTCAACTGTTAGTGGGATTATAACAAAGTGGAAGCAACTGGGAACAACAGCAACTCAGCCACCAAGTGGTAGGCCACGTCACATGACAGGGCGGGGTCAGGCGCATGCTGAAGCGCACAGTGCGCAGAAGTCACCAACTGCCTGCAGAGTCAATAGCTAAAGACCTCCAAACTTGGTGTGGCCTTCAGATGAGCCCAACAACAGTGCGTAGAGAGCTTCATGGAATGGGTTTCCATGGCCGAGCAGCTGCTTCCAAGCTTTCCATCACCAAGTGCAATGCAAAGCGTGGTGTAAAGCACACCGCCACTGGACTTTAGAGCAGTGGAGATGTGCTCTGTGGAGTGACCAATCACGCTTCTCTGTCTGGAAATCCGATGGATGTGTCTGGGTTTGGCAGTTGCCAGGAGAACAGTACTTTGCTGACGGCATTGTGCCAAGTGTAAAGTTTGGTGGAGGGGGGATTATGGTGTGGTGTTGTTTTTCAGGGGTTGGACTTGGCCCCCTAGTTCCAGTGAAGGGAATTTTTAAGGCGTCAGCATACCAAGACATTTTGGACAATTTCACACTCTCCCAACATTGTGGGAAAAGTTTGGGGATGGCCCCTTCCTGTTCCAACATGACAAACAAGCAAAGTCCATAAAGACATGGAGGAGCCAGTTTGGGGTGGAGGAACTTGACTGGCCTGCACAGAGTCCTGACCTCAACCCCATAGAACACCTTTGGGATGAATTAGAGTGGAGACTGCGAGCCAGGCCTCCTCCCCCGACATCAGTGCCTGACCTGACAAATGTGCTTCTGGAAGAACGGTCCAACCCAGGGGCGGGACTGACCATTTGGGAACTCGGGCACGGCCCCTTGAGATGCCCCTGGTACCTTTTTCATAGGCTTTTTTGAGTTTGGGCAAGGACACAGGGGCCCCATGATCCCCTATTGAGGGCCCGGAGTCAGTAGGGGGCCCCATGAGATGCCCCTGGTACCTTTCATAGGCTTTTTTGGGTGTGGTTTGAGTGTGGGTGAGGACACAGGGGCCCCATGATCCCCTATTGCCCGGGGGCCCCATGAGTTGTCAGTCCGCCCCTGGTCCAACCTTCCCATAGACACCCTCCTAAACCTTGTGGACGGCCTTCCCAGAAGAGTTGAAGCTGTTATAGCTGCAACGGGCGGGGCCAACCCAATACTGAACCCTACGGACTAAGACTGGGGGGCCATTAACCATTAGCCACCCGGCCAATGGCCGTTTGGCGGCTTCAGATGTGCCTCTTCATTCCGGGTGCACGCCATTTGGCGTGCTCCCGCACATGCGCCGTTTGCGGGTAATGCAGAGCGGCGCAGCAGCGGGATCTGTCACGGGCCGTGCACCTCGGACACGGCCGATGACAGATCTGAGTACCGGCTCCCGCTGCTGGTACCATGTGACCTGCTGTGACCAATCACAGCAGGTCACATGACAGTTGTATACAATGGATGGCTTCATTCATGATGCCATCCATTGTATACTAGTGCCTAGCTGTGAATGGTCACAGCAGGTCACATGCACATGTCATGTGATTAGCTGTGACCAAATCACAGCTAAGCACAAAAAAAAAAAAAAAAAAAAAAAAAAAAGCTGAATGAATCGATTTCATTCAGGTAAATGCTTGCTTATAGCAAAGTAATTCTTTGCTATAAGCAAATTGTGTAAAAAAAAAAAAAAAAAAAAAAATACTGATCACTTCCCCAAAGTAGTACAGTGTTACTATGGTAACATTGTACTACTTTGGTCATAGTAAAATATGAAAAAAAATCTTAAAAAAAAAAAAAAAAATGTGATAAAAAATTAAATATAATAAAAAATAAAAAAAAATTAAAAAAAAAAATATATATATATTTTTTTTTTTCATACTGTCACCAGTCAGTGTCCCTGTTAACCGCCATGCCAGTTATATGATGACGCTGTACTGCACTGGTGACAGTATGTAAAAAAAAAATAGTGAAAATAATTTTTTTAATTTTTTAATTTTCCGAAAAATTATGACATAAAAATACAACTTCAAAAAACTTGCCATGCCTCTTATGAAGTACGTCGGACTGTCTACTCTGCAAAAAGGGGTCATTTGGGGGATATCTGTACTGTCCTGACATTTGGGGGATATCTGTACTGTCCTGACATTTGGGGATATCTGTACTGTTCTGACATTTGGGGATATCTGTACCGTCCTGACATTTGGGGGATATCTGTACTGTCCTGACATTTGGGGGATATCTGTACCGTTCTGACATTTGGGGGATATCTGTCCTGTCCTGACATTTGGGGGATATCTGTACCGTTCTGACATTTGGGGGATATCTGTCCTGTCCTGACATTTGGGGGATATCTGTACCGTTCTGACATTTGGGGGATATCTGTCCTGTCCTGACATTTGGGGGATATCTGTACTGTCCTGACATTTGGGGGATATCTGTACTATTCTGACATTTGGGGATATCTGTACTGTCCTGACATTTGGGGGATATCTGTACTGTTCTGACATTTGGGGGATATCTGTCCTGTCCTGACATTTGGGGGATATCTGTACTGTTCTGACATTCTTGGACCTCAAGAAATTAGATTGGCTGTCAGTACTTCAGGATTGATCAATATTCAGATCTATACCATAGTTTGTGAAACTCTATAACTTTCCTACAAACTAAAAAATACATCCTAATTTGGGTTATTTTTCACCAAAGACATGTAGCAGAATACATCTCGGCCTAAATTTATGAAGAACAATTATTTATTTGTAAACTTTTATAACAGAAACAAAGAAAAATGTGTTTTTTTTTTCAAAATTTTGGTCTTTTTTTGTTAATTTAGCAAAAAATAAAAACCCCAGCGGTGATTAAATACCACCAAAAGAAAGCTCAAGTTGTGTGAAGAAAATGATAAAATTTTAGTTTGGGTACAGTGTTGTATGACCGCGCAATTGTCATTCAAAGTGTGAGAGCGCTGAAACCTGAAAAATGGCCTGGGCAGGAGGGGGTAAAATTGCCCGGTATTGAAACGGTTAAAGTTCATGTGCGCGGGAAGGCAGGCGGCCAAATACATTTGACAATATAGTGTATTTCCTACCATTCTCTACTTCAACATGATTCTGTTTAGGAGAATAACATGAACTTAATGCACTTTTGTACTTTTTGTTTCCCTTCCTGTTTCCCAGATCCACCCAAAAAACAGATTGTTCAACTTTAACATGCTTTGTCTTCCTGCTAATTACAAAAGGTAAGTCTATAAATGGAGAAATTCCTTTGTCAATGGAGTAAAAGCTGACTGGTTGATTTACTTGTTGAGTGAATTTGTATAATGTCCTTTTTCACAATTTTGAGTGCCTTTATGCACCTGTTTTTTGTGTGTTTGAGGAGCTTTACATTAAAGTGCCACTAAACCCACATCATCAAAAACTATCCCTAAATGCTGTATTACAGGCTGTTCATGTTCACTCAGTCACTATGAGATTCGTATTCTGTATTCTGCAAAAAAACCTGGTTGATCTTGTTGCTCTCATTTTCCCAATTCTGTTCATGTCCCCAAATTCAGCTAGGGGTTTTGCAGCTGTGGTGGCAACTCTGCACATGCTCAGTTTTCAGTGAGTTTCTAGGCTGAGCATTTCTTCCCTATCATATCTGAGCAGCCCATGTGACTATAGAGTCAGAGGCGTCCCTAGGGTTGGTGTCACCCAGTGCGGTAACACTTGGTGACACCCCCTCTGACAATCATCGACGAATGGATCGGATCTGCGGATTGAGCATAAAGGATCGGAGTCCGATCCATTATGCTCCCCAATCCGCAGATCCCATCCATCCTGCGGGGGTTGTCGGCATGCAACCTATACGGGGTGACACCGGACCCGCTCCACGAAAAGGTAAGTTGTAAAGATAGCTGACGATCCCCGTAGGATGGATGGGATCTGCGGACTGGGGGAGCATAATGGATCGGACTCCGATCCTCTATGCTCAATCCGCAGATCCGAATCATCCTGCGGGGATCGTCGGCTTTCTTTACAACTTACCTTTTCGTGGAGCGGGTCCGGTGTCACCCCGTATAGGTTGCATGCTGACGATCCCCGCAGGATGATTCGGATCTGCGGATTGAGCATAGAGGATCGGAGTCCGATCCATTATGCTCCCCAATCCGGAGATCCGATCCATCCTGCGGGGATCATCGGCATGCAACCTATACGGGGTGACACCGGACCCGCTCCACGAAAAGGTAAGTTGTAAAGAAAGCCGACGATCCCCGCAGGATGGATGGAATCTCCGGATTGGGGAGCATAATGAATCGGACTCCGATCCATTATGCTCAATCCGCAGATCCGATCCATCCTTCGGGGATCATCGGCATGCAACTTATACGGGGTGACTCCAGACCCGCTGCACGAAAAGGTAAGTTGTAAAGCAAGCCAACGATCCCCGCAGGATGAATCGGATCTGCGGATTGAGCATAATGGATCAGAGTCCGATTCATTATGCTCCCCAGTCTGGAGATCCCATCCATCCTGCGGGGATCATCAGCATGCAACCTATACGGGTGACACCGGACCCACTCTATGAAAAGGTAAGTTGTAAAGAAAGCCGACGATCGGATCCATCCTGCGGGGTTCGTCGGCTTGCTTTACAACTTACCTTTTTGTGGAACAGGTCCGGCATCACCCCATGCGGTGGGTGTCACCCGGTGTGGGCCGCGCTCCGGGTGTCACCCGGTGTGGGCGGCGCCCACCTGCCTAGAGACGCCACTGTATAGAGTCAAACATGTGGGTGTATACACAGTGGCAAATGACAGACCACTCCCTTCCTCCTCCTCCATGCCCACTAACCAGCTAAACACAATGGGGGGTGGGATATTACATGTGGACTGATGGAGGCTTCACCTCCCTGCTATATTGGCAGGAATCCGCTCACACCATGTTATTTCCACAAAATAATAAAGATTTTATTTCAAATATATACTTGTATGCCAATTTAAACAGTTTATCGTGATTATTTATTTATTTATTTTTTACTCGCCGTGTTTTTTTTGTTTTTTTTTTTTTTTTAACGTGACCAGCAGCAGAGGACTAGAAGCTCCTCCTGACACTATTTTCATGCGGACAGGCTGGGAAGGAGCTGGGTCATGTGCAGGGGCGGACTGACCATTTGGAAACTCGGGCACTGCCCGAGGGCCCGGGGTCAGTAGAGGGCCCCATGAGATGCCCCTGGTACCTTTTTCATAGGCTTTTTTGAGTTTAGGCAAGGACACAGGGGCCCCATGATCCCCTATTGCCCGGGGGGGTCAGTAGGGGGCCCCCATGAGATGCCCTTGGTACCTTTTTCATAGGCTTTTTTGAGTTTAGGCAAGGACACAGGGGCCCCGTGATCCCCTATTGCCTGGGGGGTCAGTAGGGGGCCCCCATGATATGCCCATGGTACCTTTTTCATAGGCTTTTTTGAGATTGGGCAAGGAAACAGGGGCCCCATGATCCCCTATTGCCCGAGGGCCCCATGAGTCATTGTCAGTTCGCCCCTGGTCATGTGACAGTTATACATCAATTATAATCAATTTTTTTAATTAAAGTAATTACAGAGACATCATCCATATACAGAAAGAGAAGGGAGAACGTAAATTAAACAGTGTGTGTCTTTAGTATCACTTTGAGGCAGGCCATTTGTTTTGGATGAGCGCTCAACAACACTCAAGGGTGTCAGGAATGGACTTGCCAATAGTGGTGGGACTCACTTGCCTTGTGGGCTGCAGTACCAGGGATGGCCAGCGGGTGCTCTCAACAACCAGAGGTTCACTTCGGCAATTAGCCATCACCTGGGGCTGATTGCAGGTGGTGTATTTAAGGGATGGCCAGACCTGCAGTCTGTGCCTTGGTGTGTGTTTTTCCATGGGCCCCTGTATCTTGTAACCTGCATTCCTGTTCCTGTTTCTGCCTGACTTGTTGCCGACCCTGCCTGATCCTGACCTCTGCTGACTTCTCCTGTTTGATCCCTGGCTTGTGACCCTGACCATTTCTCTCCGCCTGCTCCTCCTGTACCTACCAGCCCGATAGTTATCGACCCGGCCTGCCTGACTACGTTGTGCTCTACATGTGTATGTACCTGTGTATCTGTATCAGTTTAGGTTTGGGTTTGTTTCACCTTGTTGTATGTACCGTATTTTTTCGCCATATAAGACGCGCCGGAATATAAGACGCACCCAATTTTAAAGGAGGAAAATCTAGAAAAAAAAGATTCTGAACCCAATACATATAGTAATTCATCCTCCATATAGTAATTCATCCCCCATATAGTAATTCATCCCCCATAGTAATTCATCCCCCATAGTAATTAATCCCCCAATAGTAATTCATCCCCCATATAGTAATTCATCCCCCATAGTAATTCATCCCCCATAGTAATTCATCCCCCATATAGTAATTCATCCCCCATAGTAATTCATCCCCCATATAGTAATTCATCCCCCATATAGTAATTCATCCCCCATAGTAATTCATCCCCCATATAGTAATTCATCCCCCATAGTAATTAATCCCCCATATAGTAATTCATCCCCCCTATAGTAATTAATCCCCCATATAGTAATTCATCCCCCATATAGTAATTCATCCCCCATATAGTAATTCATCCCCCATAGTAATTCATCCCCCATATAGTAATTCATCCCCCCTATAGTAATTCATCCCCCATAGTAATTCATCCCCCATATAGTAATTCATCCCCCCTATAGTAATTCATCCCCCATAGTAATTCATCCCCCATATAGTAATTCATCCCCCATATAGTAATTCATCCCCCATAGTAATTCATCCCCCATATAGTAATTCATCCCCCATATAGTAATTCATCCCCCATATAGTAATTCATCCCCCATAGTAATTCATCCCCCATATAGTAATTCATCCCCCATATAGTAATTCATCCCCCATATTGTGTCAATTCACTTACCTTTGCTCTGCGCGTTCCTCTCGCCGTGTTCCCGCGCCGTTCCGGTCTTCAGGGCTGATCCACGAGCAGAGGGGGTGATGACGTCAGCGCGCACCGCCGGGTGTACTAAGATGGCCGACCGCTCCAGAGATAGGCCAAAGCCGCGGCCTTTCCTACGGCTGTGGCCGCGCCTCACGGATTCTCTCTCTATTCGTCGTATAAGACGCACCAACTTTTCCCCCCCAGTTTTGGGGAAGAAAAAGTGCGTCTTATACGGCGAAAAATACGGTATTTGTGTTAGCTTAGGGTTTGGTGCACTGCGTTTATATTTGTATTGTTAGTCTTTAATAAATTGTCTTATTTATACCATATCTGAAGCCTGCGTTTCCCTGTGTCAGTCCACACATCTCTGGTCACACCCGCATCCCTGACAAAGGGTCTCTCGAATGTGCGTGTTCAAAAGCTCTCAGAATTCATGTGGCCATATTTGGTGAATGATGCCACCAGCATCCCGGTCCTTCGTGTACATGCTGTCGCAGGATGGAGAATCTCTCTATTATAATCTATATTATTATAATGTATTTATAATGACATCTTTATATTTTTTTTATATATAAGCCAATGCTTTCTGTGGGGAGAAGATGTACCTGTCTGCAACAGAGGGAAAACCTGTGGTACTTTATCCACTGGTAGGCGAAACAGAAGAGCTATCGGTCATTCTTTGGATCAGAGATGATGTTACTGAAATTGCAACAATACGATATCTGAATGGAAGTGCCGATATACAATATAACGGAAATGGGGGGAAATTCAACATCTCTTCCAATGCTTCCTTAACTATAAATAATTTCAATGTGGAAGATGAAGGAACCTACATTGTGGTCATAAAGCAACTGAATAAATCAGACTGCAAACATACGTTTCATGTTAATATGTCTGGTAAGTACATTTAGAAATGGCTATTTTAGAGTACGCCATTGGCACAACTCACGTGTAAAACTTTTGTGGGGCATCCTGATCTGGTCACTGCTTCTTAGGGTTGGTATACTGTACTATAAAGAGCAATTTAGTATGGTGAGCAGAAACTACGGGGGCCCCATACAGCCAGTGAATAAAGGGGAGAGAACAATGTTCTTGGACAACTTGCTAACAACCGAATTAACCTGTCTAACAGTATGCTTCATAAGCCAGTTGTAGACTTGGGCGGGTGGCCATTTTTATTTGCATGTTGGAGTTTTGGTAGGTGGGTGCACTAGGACCCTGGTTGCCATTGGGCTACATGCTGGGGTCCAGTGCACTCCTTTGCCTTTAAAAGGGGTGGGCTCCCTCAGGTTCACCTGCCCTTGATCTATCCATTAAATGCATGTGCCTCTACTATGGGGACTCACAAATTGTAGAGTTAGGACCACAGATTATCAGGGTGCCGTGTCGTGGCTCTGTGGCTTACGTATGTATTTGCAAATGTGTGCTAACTAAATCCCTGTTATAAACGCATACTGTTAGACAGGTTAATTCGGTGTTAGCAAGCTGGCTGGCAAGTTGTCCAAGAACATTGTTCTCTTCCCCTTATTCACTATGTGATGCCTGTTTATGTGTCCTTGCTTCATAAGCCAGTTGTAGACTTGGGCGGGTGGCCATTTTTATTTGCATGCCCCATACAGCCAACCTGAGAGGGCCCCCCCCACCAAAAAAAAAATAAAAATCAAAAACGCAGTTTACTATGTTTCAGTTATGAATGAACACAGTGAGTGATCGGTACCGATTACTCATTGTGTTCACTCAGGAAAGAAGGGGCTGGTAAATGTGACATACAGGTGAAACTCGAAAAATGAGAATATGGTGCAAAAGTTTAAGCATTTATTTCAGTGCAGCAACAATTAAAAGGTGAAACTAATATATGATTGCACTCATTACATGAACTTTTGCAAAGCAAGATAGTTCAAGCCGTGATTTGTCATCATTGTGATGATTATGGCTTACAGCTCATGAAAACCCCAAATCCACAATCTCAGAAAATGAGAATATTCCATGCAATCAATAAAACACGGATTGTACATAGAACAATATCGGACCTCTGAAAAGTAGAAGCTGCATATGTACTCAGTACTTGGTTTTGGGCCCCTTTTGCAGCAATTACTGCCTCAATGCGGCGTGGCATGGAAGCTATCAGCCTGTGGCACTGCTGGGTGTTATGGAAGACCAGGATGCTTCAATAGCGGCCTTCAGCTCTTCTGCATTGTTCGGTCTCATGTCTCTCATCTTTCTCTTGGCAATGCCCCATAGATTCTCTATGGGGTTCAGGTCAGGCGAGTTTGCTGGCCAATCAAGCACAGTAATCCCACGGTCATTGGACCAGGTTTTGGTGCTTTTGGCAGTGTGGGCCGGTGGAAAATGAAGTCGGCATCCCCATAAAGCCCATAAAGAAGTCAGGATTCTATGTCTTTTTCCTGCATCAGCACTGTTGTGCCAGCGTTTTCTTGCTATATAGGCTATAAGAGTACCTTATAAAAAAAATTTGTCCTGTGGAACTGATTGCCTAGAAGCCTTCTTTTGGTCTTGTGTATTCTCATGGCACAAAGTTCAAATGCAGACTTTTTTTTATGTGCAGCCATGCCTGCTAGTAACATTTTGCATTGCAAGGACAATTTATAGACACGGCAGTTGTTAAAATGTATTTCAACCCAAGAACATTATGGCCACTCAAACACAATGTTTCAACCATTTATCAACTTCTGTTCTGCAAACCCCCTCCTCATGCCCCTAATTTTTTTTGTTTACAAACATTTTATTGTAAAAAGTAGACTTGATGTACATTTTCAAAAAAAAACCTTTCAGCAAAAACAAGGCACTTTTGAATAGTGACCATTACAGAAAAGTAAAACGTAAGAAAAAAAAGGAATAGAAAAAAAAAAAAATTAGATAGCAAGCACATGAGATGTGTAAACGATGAGGTAGGTTAAATGATACATCTGTCAACAGTATATGCCATTCAATTTTCACTGGGAAGGTTATTAATCATGGGCAATAAATGTCTATTGATCCCTCCATAGGGGGCCCCATTTTTTTCAAATAAGTAGGGTATAGTGAATGCGTTCCATGAGCATTACAGTATCAATTTGTGTAAAACACGGAGGTCAAGGGTACAGTATTGGACTTCCAATGTAAGGCAATAGACCACAAGGTGGTCAATACGCCCCTAGTATGTGATCAATCTCATAATGGCCCTCGGAGACCTACGGGATATGAGCCCCCAATACAGGTCTGCATAGACAATCGTCCCACCTGGGTACCCGCCAGTGAGGTAGCCACCTCAGATATCTTGCACCAAATCAAACATATGGTCGAGGAAGCCCAAAATATATGAACCAAAGTACCTGCATGGCCACAGCCCCAGAAAAGAAGGGGGATGTTTGTGGAACAGTACATGATGTAGTCTTGACGGGGTGTAATACCATCTGGTTAAAACCTAAAGGGCCGTCTCACGAACAGAAAGAGATCTAGAACTCTTACATATGTCTATCCACATGGAATCCCAATCCTCATTCGAAAAGGTGATACCACTCCTCCTCCTCAAGCCATTTTTGTCTGTATAAAGGGGGTGTATGAGAAAGACAGGTCAAAGATTGATGCTAAAGATCAGAAATAAGACCCCTACCTCTGGGAGAGTCACGGCTGATATGTTCAAAAAAGGAAATCGGGGAGGATGGTATAAGGCCCCCTGTGAATTAAAAAAGTGCCTAATCTGTCGTAACGATGGTACTCACGAAGAGGGATATAAAAAAACTCGCGTAGCATATCAAAGACACATGTACGATCCTCCTCTTTGGAAATCAGATAATCTGATAAGGGAACAATCGATGCCCCAAACGGCTAAATAGAGCTTGACGTTGCCCCAGAAGACCTGGACTGCAACAAAATACTGACTTACACACACATTATATGTCCCCTTCAGGCCACAAGCATGTAAATATAAGATCCTGTCTAGGTGGTACCAATGCCAAAACCCAAAATCAAAAATGTTATATATTGCAACTTACCAGTCCTTACATGTGGTGGATACATTTTTTTCTGAGATTTTTTTTCCCTTTCCTTTTACCTGATCTTACTAGTAACTCCATTCCTACATTAGGGTGACCACACTCACTCAGTGTACTATAGTATGAACAGATGTTCCCAGTTTTTGGGGACAGTCCTAGATTTTTAGGGGGCTGTCCCTGAGAAAAAAATGTCCCGAATTTCTTTCTGGCTTTAATTATTGCATCCCCTGCCTAGGTTGCAGAAGTGTAATCCATTTTAGCAATAGTTCTGTGGTTGGCCTGGAGGAGGGAGGGGTGTGTCTGATCCCAGCTGTGTTTAGGGCTATCGATGATGTCACATGCCAATATTACATGGTCTTCTCAGTCCCTCCCCTCTGGGCTTGTGCAAGCTTTGTTAGAATTAATTATTTGCCCTTGTTTGTGACCTTGACCTGAAGTGAGCACCTGAGCCTTCACTCTTGACCTAGAGCAAAGTAGGCTGTTATTAAACCATACCCCTTTAAGCCCCTCCCACTGTCAGCACAATTTGGCCACACCGGACATTTAGTGTGGCATGCTTCACATGCTGCTTTGCCCTGTGCTCCACCAACTGTCACCACCCAATAAAAGTGAGTGTGGTCAGTAAAGTGTCCCCAAATTCTCTTTTGAAAATCCGGTCAACATAATGTACTATTGTGATGGGAGTCACTTTGGGTGGGGGCCCATGGAACCCTGCTCACTTTGGAGAGGTGGGAAGACCCCTGTCTCAGCTCCCCATATCCCTCTTATGTGTAAGTCACCCTGTGCCTTTTAGGGTTACAGGGTGATCTGTCCTAATATCGTGTAGACATGTCTAGGAGATAGGTGGGGTGGGGGTTGTGGATTGTTTGGTTTCGTGTGGCTGCATCCCATTGGTCTATTGTTTGTCTTGCTTGGGAGCAAACTATTATGGGATGTACAGTATATGTATTAGCTTAGTGTGGGGGGGGGGGGGGTGTCTCCAGCAGCCCTCCCTCCTGATGGGACTGTCTGCTGGTGTGAAGTTTGAATACCCGTGTGTCTGTTGTTACTGAATGTAGATTGCCCCGCCCTGTGTCATTATGCAGGGAGGGGGGATTGTCCCCTAAGTGTATATATCTTGTATCTGTGTTCACATAAAGTAGTCTTCCTCTGGTTTACTTCAAATCTGGTGTCTTCTGGATCTTGGGGTAACAATAGCCAGATTCACTGGTCTCGTGTTCCAGAACCTGAGAAGCAGCTTCTTGACAGAAATACCCAGTCGTGGTTGTCTGGGGCCATTATAAACTATATCTATGAAGAAACAGCTTTGTTACCTTAAGATAGGACTACAGAACATATCCTCTTATGCTATAGAAAAGAGAAGAGGGGAATATGTTCTGTAGTCCTCAGATATAGTTGGAAAACAAAGTAACTGATAAGAGTGCCATAGATGTAGAGTGCAGGATGTTATCAGGTAATAAGACTTCTTGAAGGAACAATAGGTGACTTATTAGAGCGATTTAGCAAATTCTTTCAATGGTATCCCAATAGGGACCACATAGGTCAGCAATGGGCAAACTACGGCCCGGCGGACCTTTTAATCCGGCCCGCGGAGCGTGATACATTGGCTGTCAGGATGTGTGTAGGCGGGGCAGCGTGACGAACGTGAGGGGAGCTAGGCTCCTCTCACAGTCCGCCCTGAAGACCGCAACGGCGCGGGAACACGGCGAGAGGAACGCGCGGAGCAAAGGTAAGTAAATTGACACAGGGGGGACTTGGCTTACTACTTGGGGGGGAATAGTACTATGGGGGATGAAATAATATGGGGAATGAATTACTATATGGGGGATGAATTACTATATGGG